GATAACCTCAGGAGACCTTCCAAAATGCACGGAAAAACAGTAACAAATCAACTATTCCAGACATTTTAAGAGAAATAGAGAGAGCAGAAGCAGAAAGAAAAAAAGTATTTGTTGAGATTAGCTGTCTTTTTTTTTTTTTTGGTGTTTGGATGTGTTCCAGCTCATTTCTGTGCAGAAATTATTGCAGCAGTGTCTAACATATTTTCTTTCATGCAAAACCTCAAAGTATGGTGTACCAGGTCCATTTGAGTACCGGGAAAACGCTTTGTATGCATTTTTCATGATGAAAAAAGGCTCTGGACAGCATCTGGATATTGAAGAGTTAAAAAAATTTTCCAAATGCAAACGCTTATAAACGTGGTTGGCCGCGTTTACAAGCGTTTGGCGTTGAAACGCTGATAAAATCTACTCCTGAACGCAAGTTTGGTGCGTTCAAAAAAACGACTGTAAACTCAACTGCCTGTAAAGGACTGTAAACGACGATGTGTACATGGACATATAGGAAAACATTAGGGTGAGTTTAGGGGCTGCTGAAAAAAATGCAGAAAAGCTCCTAAACGTGAGTTTATCCGCTGCAGTGTACATGAAGCCTTAGTGTCTAAATATATTGGGATGGTGGTGTGGGAGATAGTGAAAAAAAAAGATTTAACTGACTGCCATCTTTTCATGAACCCTAATACTGTCTATTTATTATGTAGTTTACTTTTTGCAGCTGTTGCTCTACAAGGATACTAATTTACTGCCTAGTACAGTGTTTCTCAACATTTTTTTCAGTCAAGACACCCTTTAAAATTATGGACAGTTTTAAGGCACCCCATTCTAAAATGGGGTGTGTCCATAATTTTAAAAAATTCTAAAATTCTAATAGTTTTATATAATGCAGCAACATCCACACAGGTAAGACACCCAACATTAGAGGGGATTTATTCTTCCAAAGTAAATACATTTTTGCACACAGGTATTGGGTAGTATTCCATGGTTTCTCTTCTCCCTCAGTTTTTCTCCACCACTGAGCTAATGTGACCCCAGCACTGATGGAGAGGGGCAGGGGAGGGTCAAACTAGGATGTTGTGCAGGCAGCTGACATCCTCTTTGTCAACTGATGATGTCATAAGTTGTCAGGACGCCGGCGGCTAGAAGGTTGTAATGGTGCACAATGAAAACCTGTGGCTTTGTGTAACTAAAAGGCAGGCTTTTTACAAGTGCTGACTTGTATACAATTTTTGGGCAATTTTTTGACATTTTGCCAAAGCACCCCTACAGAAACCTCAAGGCACCCTGGTTGAGAAAAGCTGGTCTAGCATGTGTATAGAGAAAATAAAATTCTCTATATTATATTAGAAATATTACAAACATACAGTATATGACAATGCTAGCAAGTAAACATTGAAAATCAAAATGAAAAACACATACATTTTGCAAAACAATGTAGTCACAAAAATATGTTTGTAACTCTGTACCTGTCCAAAGAGAAAGGATCTAGCAAACATGCTGCCATGCATCATAAGTATTTTAATAGGTTGATGGTACCTTGTCAATTGTTTTTAGAATGACAGTGTAGTTGTTGAAAAAATTGGTGTATATCTTCAGCTTTGATCCAAATTTCATGAACACATCTCCTAAGCACTGTGCAGGTCCCCATTCTTCAAGTCTTTCCATCAATTCTGTTAAGAGATGCCTAAATCCAAAGAAAACATGCATTTTTATATGATTAAATTTGGTGTGTTCAACTGTCGAGTTATCAAATGACAGGATGTAAACAATGCCTGTCTGATGGCTTAAAGGCAATTTGTCATGAAAGAGTCAAGGAGGTTACTATTGCTGATCATTTCTACTGCAGATGCCAATTGCCTGGATGTAACACAGATTTATTGGCTTCAATGTTACATGAGGCCCAAGGCCTGAAACAAGTATAGAAATAAGGAATTTTAACACGTCTGACACATTTACAGTATGCATGTGTTGGTCTACATCAGCCTTTCTCAACCTTTTCAACACAGGGAACCCTTAAAAAACATTTCTGGTCTCAGGGAACCCCTGATAGATATTAATATGTCTACAACTCATGATAAATTAGTGTGATGGTCATTGGGACGAATGATCCTTACACTTATGGTCATTGGGAAGAATTACCTCCTTACAGATGGCTAAAAAGATCAATGGTGTCAGTGGAAACTTATCTGAGAGGCAGAAATTGCTCAAGGAACACCTAGCAACCTCTGGAGGAACCCTAGAGTTCCATGGAACCCTGGTCTACATGATAACTAGGTTTGAGTCCTGTTTAGACTGTTATACAGGAACATTTAGGTGTACTTTAACCACTTCAGCTCTTATTCCTTTATACTTGTTATAGACCAGACCAAGTTTACATTCCCACTATAGAATTGTTATCTGGTGATAACCATGTCATTGCTTTATCCAATGTTGTGGGGGGAGAGAGAAAATCGGGGATTCTTTTGGCAATATCTTACAAAAATTATTTTATTCACCATGTAATCTATAGCCAAAAGTAGACCAAAACCCATGATAAATGAAAAAAAAATGTTTACGGCTTTTATTTAATTGAAGCAGTGTTAGCTTCCCGCAATGTACTGCTGCGGGCGGTAGCTACAGGCAAAGCTACGTCGCTCTGGCTGTACTAACACAGGGGGGCTCCTGCAAAGTACAGTGTAAAAAAAAAAAAAAATCCCTGATCACCACCAACCCCCCAACGTTGGATAAATGTTACTATGGTAACATTGTACTATGTTGATAAAAGTATAAAAAAAATAAATACTACTATATTGAGAAAAAAAAAAAAAACACATTTTTAATTTTTTTTTCTTTTAACTACTTGCCAACCGCTTACCCACATTTTGTGGGTGAGCAGCAGCTCTTGACAAAGCGCTGTAATCTTGCGTCGTTTCCTGTTTTGGGGTGTGAACACTCCTGCGCACCCGCGGCCCCCTGGTTGGTCCAGGGAGAGAAGAGTGAACACAGCAACGAGTAAAAGCATTACATTTTGCACACACACACACATTAGATTAGCACATTTAACCCTTTGATTACCCTTTCATACCCCCCTATTAACCCTTTCATCGTCCCGTCACCCACCAGTGCCGTTAGTACAGAGTCAGTATATAAAATTTTTTTGTCAGGGTCAGTAAGCACCCCTCCCAGACAGGGTCAGAAAGTGTTAGATTGCCCGCAAACTATCACACTCAAGCTATAGGTCACTGATCACCACCATTACTAGTATAGCATTTGTACAGATCAATATAATGATCATGAACAAAACTATACTAGTGCCTGCTTAGTATAGTGTCCCCAAAAACGCAGTGTTAGCAGGATCAACCCCGTTTGCTGCCAGCACTAGCGTTTGCCCTTCCGCTATTTTTCACAGAAGATTTGTACCAATTGATTGTGGGCCGATGCAATTTATACGCACAACAATACATTGCCGCCCACCCAAATTCAGCTCTTGCCAGACAATTCGCATGGAAACCTATCATGGTTTCTGACTTTAAAACTTTTTTGGGCCTAACCCTCAACATAGATATTACAAATAAGAATAAATTTCAGTCATATTGATCCACAGAGCCAATTCACCGTATACCCATGTTCTCTGCTGGTACATATTTGCCCAACATGGACCAGCAATGTACTAGTATGTCGCTGGACTTTGAGTGGTTATACTAGGATGATGCCTGCAGCTGCAAAAACCAAGAAAAAAGAAAATAGGCTGCACACCTAAAAGGCTAATCCAACGACATATTTGCAATTTAATGAATTAAATTTTTGTTGCAGGGGATGCTCAAATTCTGACTTGTGCAAACTGCTGGGAAAATCAGTGAGCCAATCACACAAGCATTACATATCTGGGGGGGGGGGGGGGTTCTGTACATCATCTACACAAAACAGTGACAGCAGAAAAAGACAGAGTGGTCCATCGAGTCTGCCTGTTTTTTATGTTTTTCGGGGGTAGGGGGTTGCTGTTTGTTTGGGGGGGGGGGGGTTGTTTTTTTTTTTTGTTTGTTTTTTTTTTTTGTCTATGCGTAGATCTGTGCTTGTCCCACTTGTGTAGATCTATGCTTGTCCCACTCGTGTTTGAAGCTATTTACTGTTGACTGGCTCACTACCTCTGCTGGAAGTTTATTCCAAGCATCAACTACTCGTCCAGGGGACACAGCGGGCACCTCGCGGTGTCGCATGCTCTCAGGGAGCGTGCACAGGTGGGGAGCACGGAGGACGTTTATAAATGGCCACCTGCTCCATTTATATACATGGGCCAGACGGGAAGTGGTTAACTAGGGATGAACTCAGACGTGTTCAGATCCTAGTCTGAACCCATCTGAGATATCCCACCAGGAACTGTCACAGCACACTGCCAATCATACGTTTCCGATGCATCTCCTGACCACAGCCATACGTATACAAACCCTTGTACATGCCTAGCTGTGGGGCAGGGAATTGCTTGGCTGCTTGTTATTGGCGTTGTGCAGTGGCAGCTTTCTGGCGAGATGGCCTGGGTGGATTTCCAGAGTAGGATCCAAACATGCCCGAGCTCATCCCTGTTGTTAATGAGAGGGTAAATGAGTGAATGAGATGCATAATGGTCACTAGTGGGTGCCAGGAAGTTATGCGGCACACTTTCCTATCACCAAACAGATATGATTAGTAAATAAACTAAACAGCAGGTAAGGCCCCAGGATATTGAGCTTATTTACAAAAACTCTTCCTCTCTAGCTGCTCTAGCCCATAGTATGGCCTTATGCTCAGTTATTCTCCATTCGCATCAATTTAACTCAGGCTCTATTCTCACAGTACATGTGCACTGTGGTGTGCTTGCATTCATTCTGATACAAATGTATGGTATAAAGCGATGCACCTGTCCTTTATGCATTATGGCACACTGTGTTCTCCAAAAATAGAACAGGTTTGTTTTTATGTACATTGAGACTTGTTAAGGGTCCATTCAAAGTGAATAGACTGCCTTCATGCTCCCATAGGTGTGAATCAAGACCTAAATGATCTCATTGCAACCATGCTGTGCACATAGAACCAGGGGCGGACTGACCATTTGGAAACTCGGGCACTGCCCGAGGACCCGGGGTCAATAGGGGGCCCCATGAGATGCCCCTGGTACCTTTTTCATAAGCTTTTTTGAGTTTGGGCAAGGACACAGGGGCCCCATGATCCCCTATTGCCCAGGGGCCCCATGAGTTGTCAGTCCGCCCCTGCATAGAACTGTCTTTAGCTGCAAATCTCCAGGCTGCTCTCATCAGGAGTAAGTAGTGTTTATCTACATTTTAAAAGTTTGTGACCAGAATGGTGGCCATAGATGCTTCAATAATATATCAATTTATCTTGTGATTGTTCTCTCTTGATAGGAATAATTGACCTATAGTCAACCCATTTGACTGATATGACATGCCGGGAAGTGGATTTTAAATGATAGTTGAAAGAATTGCAGGTTATTGATTGAATCTGTTTTCACCATGGAATCTCATGATCTGATCAAGCAAATTACAATTGAAATACAATGGAATTCATGAACAATGCATCTCATTGCTGCCAATCAATGTAGCACTCGATAATTTTTTACTCAAGCTGATCAACTCAGACTTTGCTCAAATTCGATCCAAATCCAGTCTAAATCAATCAAAGAGGAAGTCAGACCTATTCAATTGTTAGCACATCAATCGGATAATAAAATTGAAGCTTGTTTAGCCACCATCAGACTGTTATAATCTCTGGTAGGTCAGATCTGGGTACAACATCATTAGTTAAAATATATATCTACTGTATGCCTATTCAAACATATATATTGCTGAAAAGCTATAATATGAGATGATGTGCTCATGGTTTCATTTGTTGGACCTCATCTCTCGAAGAACAAAATAATGATTTCCATTATTTCATTCAGTCAGCAGTCAATGGCACACAATTCAGGCTACCATGATGCAGAGGCTCTTAGTCAATAAGTGAAAATGATGTTCAGTTATTCCTACCAACCAAGTAACATTTAACGTTCATCATTCTAATGATACATTGCAGGGATCTCATGAAAGGTTAACATACAGTAGAAGAACATGCACATACTTGTTGATTTGTAATATATTGAGAATATCAGAGAAGATGATTTGCACATTAGAAATGCTCAGGATTGCACGATTTGATGCAAGTGCCGACTTTAGTGGGACAGCGTAGACATCTCTGATGATTTCCAGGACTTGTACATACTGTCTCTCGCTCTTCAAGATTTCTCGAGCAAACCTTGAACGTTTATCTCCAAGATCCACTAGAAGTTTATTCTCCTGTGTTGAATCAAATAAAAACATTTCAGAAAGGGGTAGAACAATTTTAGCTTTGAGGGTGGAAAGACATGCACACCGAGGGGGAGAGCACTTCTGCCTGGCAGTACTAGGGTCGTTGGTTCGAATCCCAACCACGGCACCACCTGCCTGGAGTTTGCATGTGTGGGTTTCCTCCGGGTAGTCCGGTTTCCTCCAACACTCCAAAGACATGCTGGTAGATTAATTGGATCCTGTGTAAATTGGCCCTAGTATGTGTATGTATGAATGTGAGTTAAGGACTTTAGATTGTACGCCCCTTGAGGGTTAGGGACTGATGTGAATGTACAATATATATGTACAGTGCTGTGTAAATTGACGGTGCTATATAAGTACCTGTAATACATAAATAAATAAAACACAGAATCTGGTGCAGCTGTGCATAGTAACCAATCAGCTTCCAGGTTTTATTGCTAAAGCTTAATTGAATAAGCTGAAGTTAGAAGTTAATTGGTTACTATGCACAGCTGCACCAGATTCTGTCTGCACCAGTTTTAGTAAATCTCTCCCCTGTGTTTTTACACACTAGTATGTGTGGCTTTAGCTATGCACACATTATTTACTGGTATCACGTTTAAAACACCAAACAGAAGCAAAGTTTTAATACAGGTATGTGAACACTTCAACCTGCAAAATATTAGTTATTCTGTGCAGCCGCTCTTAGGATTCACACACCCCTACAAAACTGCACAGCCAGTTGGGTGACACCCCCATTCCCAGTGCCTGAAAACATATGTCAAGCTCACTGAGCAATGCAACATTATGCTTGTTTTCCAGTGCATAACCTTCATCGCATAAAGTGATATTAACAACTTCCTGACCATGCTATAGCTAAAAGACTGCTACAGAGCAGTCCTCCGGGTCTGGGAGGGTGTCCAAGGACATTCTTCCAGAATCCTGCACACCCCCTGGCGCACGTGCGCTGTGACCACTTTGTAATTTGGACATAGCTGATCACAGATCGCGTTAAAGGGCCAATCACAATGGCCCTTTACCATGTGATCAGCTGTGTCCAATCACTGCTGATCACATGTAAACAGACTTGCCAGTTATTGGCAGTCTTTTCCTCACACATTGTGTCTGTGTGAGGAAAGGATAGCTAATAACCGACAAGGCTGTCATTAGATTGTTTACACTGATAATCAGAGCAGCCCCCTTCAGTACCAATCAGTGCTACCTATCAGTGTCCATCAGTGCCGCCTATCAGTGTCTCCTCATCAGTGCCACCTATCAGTGCAGTCTCAGTGCCCATCAGTGCAGCCTCATCAGTGATCATCAGTGTCCATTAGTGCAGCCTCATCTGCGCCCATCAGTGCAGCCTCATTAGCGCCCATCAGTAAAGAAGAAAAATTCCGTATTGCAACATTTCATAAACAGATTGTTGGCCTTTTAACCCAGTGGTGATTTAACATCACCAAAAGAAAGCTCTATCTGTCTCAAAAAATGATAAAAATTTCATACGGGTACAGTGTTGCATAACCGCACAATTGTAATTCAAAGTGCAACAGCACTGAAAGCTAAAAATTGGCCTGGGCAGGAAGGTGGTGTCCAGTATTGAAGCGGTTAAAGGTAGATTTTTTGTTTGTTTAAAAAAAACACACATGTCATACTTACCTGCTCTGTGCTGTGGTTTTGCACAGAGCAGCCCCAATCGTCCTCTTTTCTTGGGTCCACTGACTGCACAAGAACAAAATGAATCATCTATGGCCAGCTTAAGTCAGATTTCTGCTGGTGCAAGAAAGTGTGGGAAAATTATTTTCTAATGAACTAATCTTTCATATGTCATTAACCTTATCCTATGCTTTTCTTTTTGCCACCTTATTCTCTGGTGTAAAATAGATTAATGATGCTTTAATTCATTTGAAAATGATTGTGGGCTTATTTTTTGTTGCCTAGTGGGCTAATATAGCTGTGAGGTGCTTTAGCATAATTGTTTTTGACCAGGGGCCAATTATTTATCCTTCACTACCATCATGGAGGAAGCTACACTCTCAGGGCTATAAGAGAGCAGGCCGGAAGCATATACAGTATTTTATTTCTACTTTGTGAGGCTTTGATTAACCCCTTGACGCCGATGTAACACAAATAATAAAAAATAAAATAATAAAAAAAATTGGTATCAGGGTCAGTTAGTGTCAATGTCAGTGTATTTTAGGTAAAAAAAAAAAAAAAAGACAAAAAAAACAAAATGTGCACTATTGTTTCTGGACTGTACTACGGGTACAAACAACAAATAACATACACATATATGGTATCGCTGCGATCGTCAAGAACTGGAGAATTTGTTTTGGGTTGTTCTTTGGTGGTAGGTTATGGTTGTAACAAGAAGCACACAGCTAAAAAAAAAAAAAAATATTTTATTTTTTACTATTTTGGGCCAGTTTTCCTTTGATAATAAAAAAAAAAAATCAGGAGATAACCATTATCGTTTACCACCAAATGAAAGTCCAATTTGCCCTAAAAAAAAAAAAAACAAGGTTTAATTCACCAGGATGTATTAAGTATTTGTGATGATAACTACGGTTTTACTAACGCATGCCAACGTTGCAAAATTGTGCTTAGGCATTAAGATTTGTTTTACCCTTAGGCGTGGAGAAACATCCGCTATCCTTACCAAAGATGTACCTATTTTATGAAGGACGTGCATATCTCTGCACAGCCAGGCATCAAACCATCACAATTATTTTAAAGTTCAAATATCTAAAGACAGTAATTCCTAATAAATAATACTGCCTGAATTACCACAATTTGATATCAGTGAAATGTTCAGCAGCAGTATGTATGTTGCAGATTTTTTTAATGGTTTTCTTTGTTCAGTATAAATGGTTTGATTTGGATCCTTAAAGGACAAAGTATAAATGATTAAGTTTTCCAAGCCCAGTGCTCATACTTACCAGCACAGTAAGTTTTCTGAACCTAGACTCAGAGCGACTTGGAGAAAGAACAGCCTTTTCAGATATGGCATCACCATCATTATCATCTTCCTGCTGTAATATATAACATGTGTATTAAAAGGAATCTATAATGGTTCTAGGCCAATTTTGTTTATGAAGTCTTTTAATCTATTTCACTACCAGAACCTTTTTTTTCCCCCCACACGTTAAAAAAAAATCATTGTAAGTCTGAAGATTTTAGAAACCCCCCAAAATATTATATATTTTCTAAAAGAAGATACTGTAGAGAATAAAACAGTGGTAGTTCCAATTTTGTATGTCACATGCAATGTTATATCAAGATTTCAGTACAAATTACACTAAAGTTATCTTATGGGCACACAAATGCAATAAATGACCCAATGTTTTTTTAAAACATATTGGAAGAGGTTGGACCAAGTAAATGGATTCCAAACATGTCAAACCTTAAAATTATGTATGCCCATGAAACGGCGACAAACTTAAGTATGCTATATTTTCCATAGGCTAAAAACCCCTACAGGTCATCAAGTTAGATTTAACTATGGGTATTGGTCCTGGAATTATTGCTCTCACTTTGGTGTGCGTGATGATATGTAACATGTATAACACCCCCCCACATATGCATTTACATTCGTACATGGCGGTTGGGGGCTTTCAAACATTTGGGTGGGGAGATTGTAGGTGCTTGGGGTGTAATTTTAAAGCGATTCTAAAGTTTTGATTTTTATTTTTAATAATAAACATGTCATACCAGGGGCGGACTGACCATTTGGAAACTCGGGCACTGCCCGAGGGCCCGGGGTCAGTAGGGGGCCCCATGAGATGCCCCGATACCTTTTTCATAGGCTTTTTTGAGTGTGGGCAAGGACACAGGGGCCCCATGATCCTCTATTGCCCGGGGGCCCCATGAGTTGTCAGTCCGCCCCTGTGTCATACTTACTTGCTCTGTGCAGTGGTTTTGCACAGAGCAGCCCCAAACCTCCTCTTCTGAAGTCCCCTACTGGTGTTCCTGGCTCCCCAGTATGAGCTTCATCCTGAGCCCGGGATCTGTGCATCTATTGACACACACACACGGCGTGGCTCGGCCCCGCCCACTCCTCACAGGATATGATGGACAGCAGTGGGAGCCACTGGCTCTCGCTGCTGCCTCCATGTCCAATGAGGAGAGAGATAGAGAGCACTCTTGGCCATAGCTCTGGCATCAAGATCAGGTAAGTAGTTAAGTGAGGCTGGGGGAGCTGATCACAGAAGGTTTTTTACCTTAACCACTTGCCTACCAGGATACCCCCTTCCTTACCAGGCCAATTTTCAGCTTTCAGCGCTGCCGCACTTTGATTGACAATTGCGCGGTCATGCAACATTGTACCCATATGGGGGATCATTTTTTCTCACAAATAGAGCTTTCTTTTGGTGGTATTTAATCGCCACTGGGCGCTTTACATGCGCTATAAATTAAAAAAGTAGAGTTTATTTGTCTTTTATAAAATTTTTCAAACAGGCATTTTTTCTCCTTCACATTTGCGTTGATGAGGGGCACTGATGGGCACTGATAGGTGGCACTGATGGGCACTGATAGGCAGCACCACTGATAGGCAGTACTAATGAGGTGGCACGGATAGGCAGCACTGATAGACAGCACTAAAGGGGTCACGGATAGGCGGCACTGATATGCAGCACTGATAGGCGGCAGGTGACACTGATGATGGGTACTGATAGACGGCACTGACTGGCATCACTTCTGGGCACACACTGGCGGCAGGACTGGCACAACCCCTGGCACTGACTGGTGGCACTGACTGGCAGCACTGCTGGGTGCACTGGTGGGTGGCACTGGTGGGCAGCACTGGTGGGTGGGCACAGGTGGGTGGCACTGGTGGGCACAGGTGGGTGGCACTGGTGGGCACAGGTGGGTGGGCACAGGTGGGCACAGGTGGGTGGGCACAGGTGGGTGGCACTGCTACATGTAGGTGGCACTTCTGGGCACAGGTAGGTGGCACTGCAGAGTGGCACACCTGCTGGGCACAGGTGGGGGCACTGCTGTGGCACCACTGCTGGGAACGGGTGGGCGGGGCTAGTGGGCGCACTGCTGGGCGGAACTTGCGGGTGTCACTGCTGGGCACCGATCATCAGGGCACTGATCATCAGTGCCCTGATGGTGCCGATCCCCGCTCTGACAAGTACTTTCCTCACGATCACAGCGTGAGGAAAGTGCAGCCGAGAACCGGCACTGCATTTTCCCTGTGATCAGCGTGTCATTGGACACCGCTGATCACGTGGTAAAAGGCCGGTGGGATCGGCCCTTTCACCACATCACGTGATCAGCTGTGTCCGTAGGACACAGCGATCATTCCAAAGCAAGAGCGCGTTCTGGGGAGGTAAGTCATATGACGTCCACTCAGCTGGGGGAGCAGTGAAGCCGTCATTCGGCTATGCGCGGTCGGCAAGAGGTTAATGTAGAGAATGCATTAGGGGTAAAAAAAAAATTTTCCATTACGTAGAGGTCAAAAAGTCACAGGGGGAAGCAATCCATGCTGGACCACTTTCATCTGATATGCCAACAGTCAGCTTATCAGATTTGTACACCACTCCCAGCGGCTGCAGTGTATGTAAGACATCCCCCCCCCCCCCCAAAGTCACCACTGTAGTATCTACAGTACAGCAGAGGCAGTAAAAGGGTAAAAGGTTCATGAATGGAAAGGTGAACTAACTCCAAATATCCTAGCCACCCCTCAGGATCCCCCCCTGCACATAGGAGCCATAATGCCTCATGCTGCGAGTGTATCGATCTGTACACCACAATACACAGCCCAGGAGTGCGTATCCATCATAAACTTCAGAATGACAAGCTTTCATTGGTCTGCACAACTGCGTAACCACGCTGACCAATGAGATGTGCTTCTTTCTTCTGGGACAACTTACTACAGGTAGAAGCCTCACGAGCACTTCTCACTGGTCAGCACAGTCACCTGGCAGAGGGAGCCATGTACAGCAATTCCAAATTAAAATTGTCAGCTGCCATGGGGAGAGGAAGCCATGCAGGATGTCAAATGGGGCTCAGTTTGGGAAATGGTGGGGTTTTTTGGCATGGCACCATATTACCCCCCTAAGTATGGGTTTAGCTTGTAACATGCTCTAAAAGGTGCAGTTCACTGCATTCTTATACAGCATCAAAAACACATGAAGTGTTTCACATGGTTTCCAATGGCCGTAGTTCACATTCTAAGGCAGTCAACAAAAGTAGAATATGCTGCATTTTTTTGCATGGAATGCATCTGTAACGTGGCAAAAGGCATCAAAAATGCACAAAAAATATCAAAAACACACCAGAATGCACATGTCCTAAAATGAAAACAAAAAGAAAGCACTGGAATGCACCGGAATGCATAAAAAAATGTATATGCAGACATACATCCGAGAAGCAGAAATGGTAGTGTGTATTGGCCCATAAAGCGGTATTAATCCCAAAACCAAAAATTTAATATATCGCAGCTTACCAATCATTGGATGTGGTGGCTGCATCAGTTTTATTTTCTTAGGCTTTTTTCCTCTGTTTTCCCCTGGTGATCTGGCCAGTAACACAACCTGTATTTTACAGACACCACTCTGGATGAAGGAACACAGGGGCACCTATAGACAGCAGCATTGTCATCAAGGAGGAGGGAAGTGTTATATGTACTAGCTGATTTAGATACAGAGATTGAAGCCAAACTCCAGCTAATACTTTATAAGCAGTTACAGTAACAGTTTTGTTCCTTTTGGGATAAAGCTTTTACATAAATAAAAGCTGATCATTGTAAGCACCCCTGTTAGTAGTAAATGGTTTGTCTCAACACTCCAACTGCTACATATGCAGAATAGCTTGTTCTGTTGAAAAAAACAACAGACTTACTGGCTCGTGAAAATAAAAGAAAAAAATAAATAAAAAAAAAAAAAACAACATAGCCACCATATCTAAGAATTGGTGAGCTTCAATGTAAAACATTTTTGCTTTTGGGTTTATTACCATTTTAAGGCTTGGAAAACACACAAGTTATATTTAAGACTGTATTTTAAGATTCTTTTATCACCTTTAGAAATGCTGATAGCGTTTCCTCAGTATTTGCTTGCAGCAACTGGTTCCTGAGCTCTTTGTTTTTTCCACATTTTTTTAAAAGAAAGAGGGAAAGGAACTCCAGTGGATCATCCTTTAGACACAAAAATAATAGTGGAAAAAAAAATATGAGAAAATGGGTAAAATGCCCTGTAAAGGATTAATGCATTACTACATTATATTAGAGTAGGCGTCATTTACTATGAAAACTGCAGAATTGCCACTTACAAACAAGAAAAGCATGGATCATTGATTCTATCACATTTACAGATTTCATTTACTTACGCGCTTCTCCTTAACAAGTTCTACTAAACCTTCAGTCAATGCCTCAGCAATATCTTGATTGGTCTGCACCTTCACCATGGGCATTGTGTCAAACATGAACTGTCCTATAAAAACAACCCAATGTCACACTGAACATTTCATTCCAAAAATACTTTATTGTGACAAGGTCATATTCACTGGCATAGCTTAAACTCAAAGGGACATTTCACTTTTTGACTACTTTACAGGAGTCAGATATAAACAGGAAGTAAGGCTGGCCATACATTATACAATTATCTGCAGATTTTCTGCTCAATTTCCTTTAGATTTACCTTCAACTATGTAGTGCAAGGGCCTGCCTAATTGGATACAACTGAAAGTGTTGTTTAGGTTTGTCCTCCTATTATATGGTTTTTGGTAAATCTAAACCAAAAATCTGCAGATAATTGTATAATGTATGGCCAGCCTAAGAGAGAATCATCCCAACAGGGAGAAATAAAACCACATTTTCTAGTACACCGAGAATTGTTTAAAACACAATCAGAATTTTTTTCTGTGTACCCATTGCCAGGTGACAGATGTCAGAGAAGAACAGGAAGAGAACAGAAATCTCTTGAATCAGGACACAGACAGCATTTAAAACCTGACTGAGGTTCTAACCCTTCTCCACTCCACTCTCCAAAACATTTTGGCTGGAGCTTGACTTTAGATTCAGAGGCAGAAAAAAAACCTTAAAATGCATCATGGTCCAGTGCCCTTTGCTATAAGCATACCAACCCACATGCCTGGTTTCTGGGTTATGTCTGGAGTGAGTAGGGGGTTCTGGAGGATAATTGGGTTTTTATCCATCCATCACCATGACCTTGTTGTAATGTTCAGTGAATTTAAAATCTTGGAACGATACATTTTTAATCAATTTTAGACAGAAGTCAATTAACCTACCAGCATATCTCTGGAATGTGAGAATAAACTGAAGTACCCAGAGGAAATCCATGCAAGCGCAAGGAGAACATGTAAATTCCATTCAGTGTCCTGCCTGGGGCTTGACCCGAGGACCACAGTCCTGCAAGCCACTGTGCTGCCCCCTGGGTATTGTTTTTTTTAATTCATGTAAAAAATAAAGAGTATGCAGCATTTCACTTAAGCAATCATCTTGTCTTTAAAAAATGCAAGACTTTGATATCTCAACCCTGAGAAATTTTATTTTCAAATTTTTATTACAAATGTAATAATAAAAAGTGAGTTGTGTGCTGCCCCCTGGTTATTGTTTTTTTAATTTATATTAAAAAAAAAAAAAAAAAAAAGAGTATGCAGCACTTCCCTTAAGCAAGCATTTTGTCTTTATAAAATGCAAGACTTCGATATCTGAACCCCGAGATATTTTATTTTAAAATTTGTATTTCAAACATAATAATGAAAAGTCAGTATCGCCCCCAAATAAATACCAGCCTGGTGCGCAAAATATATGAGCTGTTATCCCTATAAACTAGAGATAGACACGTATGCAGGTATCTGCTATACCTGTATCAACCAGTCTGTATATCCCACATCAGCACCAATATAAGGGATTCAAACGTGTAGGAATTACCCCCTTAAGCCTTGATAAAGTGTTATGTCCAAGAAAAAAAACGCA